TCGAGTAGGTAAATATGTATCTGAGTCTTTCTTCATCAAGAACAGTCTAAAACGTTTGCGTTACAATATGCCATCAGGAAAGTCCAAGATAGACAGGAGGGTTTGTAATTGAATGGGACACATCGGCTATTGGCACTTGCAGATGTTAATCTATTGGGTTACGGTATAAATACTAATTACATGTTAGTATCTTGTCAGCAGACAGGAGGGCAGAATAGTCTTATTATGGCGAATAAATCATTTGAAAGTGTTACAAAGTTCAAATATCTGGGAACAACAATAACAAATGAAAATGACACTCATGAGGAAGTTAGGAGGAGATTAAATTCTGGAAATGCTTGCTACTTCTCAGTTCAAAATATTTTGTCTTTCCGTCTGATTTCTAAGAACCTGAGAATTAAAGTGTACAAAACAATAATCTTGCCTGTTGTTTTGTATGGGTGCGAAACATGGTCTCTCACTCAGAGGGAGGAACACAGATTGCAGGTGTTTGAGAATAGGATGTTGAGGAGGATATTTGGGCCTAGGAGAGAAGACGATGGGGCATGGAGAAAATTTCATAATGATGAGCTTAAAAATCTGTGCTCCTCCCCCAGTATTGTCAGGGTGATTAAGTCGAGGAGAATGAGATGGGCGGGTCATGTATCGCGCATGGATGGGACAAGAGGTGTGCACCGGGTACTGGTTGGGAAACCTGAAGGGAAGAGACCTCTAGGGAGACCTAGACATAGATGTGAGGATAATCTCAGGCGTGATCTATGGGAGATAGGAGTTGAAGGAAACTGGATTTTGTTGGCCCAGGACAGGGTCCGGTGGAGGGCTTTGGTTAATTCGGTGATGAACCTTCGGGTTCGGTAAGCCATAGACTTAGTCAGTCAGTTAGTATACTTTCCAAGTATTGTCTGATTTTCAACAGATAACTAGCAGAACATAGGCAAAATTTATTATTTACCCAACGTTATTAGCCTGATCAACTCTAGGATGGCGAGATGGAATAAGCATATTGTATGCACGAGGAATATGAGAAATAATTTTAAAATTCTAATAAAAAACCTCAATGAATGAGGCTACGTGCTTTTGTGAAGCATAGAGAAAAAGGGACGTGATACTGAACCGAAATAAAGTTTCGTGGAGAAGAGATCAAAATGACAGGTTCTTGTGAGAGAGGTTAGGATCTGGTACCTAAAAAGTGGGAGCTAACACGACCAAGTCAGATATTACGAATTTTTACGAAAGAATATATTAGTAATGAAAATGTATCTGCAATTATACGTATGTAAATACACGTATATCTTATTCTTAATACTATTAATGTAGCAAAAAAGAATAAAATATTCCAGTTGAATATATTATGTGCGTTAAGACTTTAATTATGTTTTAATTTAATCTACATACAAAGACCAAATATAAACAAGGTTTGAGAGGAGGAATATACTGCAGAAAATGACTTTACTGTTTGACATGGCGTCGTCAAAAAGACAGAGGATTATGGAGAATCTGAATATGCGTTCGGACGAACCTCAGACTACCAGAAGCAGCGCGACTGGATTACATCTCACTCTTCGAAATTCGTAACAGCAGGCAAGTTACCTGCGGTCTCTAGATCCGTGCTAAAGTTCTTCTTCAGTTTCAACGATGTTGTTTTAGTGGCATCAAAACCACAGCCCAAACAGCTGAATAGACGTACCTTGAATTAGATAATTACTGGAGAGAACTTAGAAATGCTCTGTTTAGATCCAAAATAAATTTAAAACCACAATATTCAATTCTTAGTTTATTTAATCATAATCTATTAGTTATGGATCTTCATGCAATGGAATGAATTTAAATAATGATTACTACAGACGTGGAGAAAAGACGTGGTGTATTTTTAAACTGACTTCTCAGTGGCTTCTTGGACCAGGTGCTGTGACTTGCATCAATGTGAACTGCAGATTCAGTGCCTATATCCATTCCATCCAATTACGCTACAGACCAAGTTCGGCTTTCTTTATTATATATCTTCTTTTCCTACATCCTTTTCCCATTACTTTGCTCCGAGATTCTAATTGCACCTAACTGCGAGTATACCTATAAAGTAATCACCAAAACAATGGCTTTGTCTTTGCTGGTGGTAGAAATAAAATTATAAGTGCTTGAAACAGTAGGTCCTCTAAAAAACTCGATGTCACTCGTCCTGTTGTATTCATTGATACATGTTACGAGCTATGTGCGACAAAACAGAGGCAAACTACAGGTTACAAGCTCTGAAATGAGTTCTGGAACAACAAGGGGCAATGCGGCTTTGCAGCAGTGCAGAGATTACACAGACTGAAAACCTCTCTTCTGGTTTACGACCCATTAGCACAGAGCCTATTTTTTCCAGAGAGGTTTTGAAAAGGACAGTAAAATATTCATTCTTTCCCCCAAGTGACCTCTGGTATAATGGGTGATGGAACTTCGCACTGCAGTCATTGCTTTTCAGAACGCAGTAATCACTGAATCTCACGGCAGACATTTGCGACATTACATAAATGTAGTTATTGTGTGAAATGTACTTTTTTTGTTTCGCTTAAAAACTAAATGTGAAATGAGGGTGGAACGTCACATCGGTATTGGAGAACGGGAGGCAGTTTTCTATGTCCACTGCGAAAAATGTGCTGGGAACACAAATCACAAGTCGGCAATGTTGTTCTGGGTTCTGAGTCCATGGCGACTCACAGGTTAATATCAACTTTTCGTAGAAAAATACTGTATCAATTTTCACCTCTGAAGCCCTTACATGAAGACAGCAAGTTCCTCTGAAACATCGGTAAGTCCACACAGTGTCACAGCCCAGAAGAGCAATGTCGTCTTCACCACCCCGAGAAAATAGAATCTCACACTTATTTTCCGTTTATCAAACATTCGCCATAGAAATTATTAGCTATCGACCACACAAACGGGAAAAAACGCTTATAAATCTATAAAATATACACTGTAGAATTACGTAATACTTCAGCTCGTCTCGACAGGGAATTACCGATCGAGACAAAGCATCTACGTTCTTCTGAATGCGCCAGTTCGCACCTGCACAGCTTCTGTGCGACTGGTGTCAGCAACAAGCCTGAACTTGCTTCGAGTGTCGAAGGATGGGCCGGAGAGTTTAATACATGGGCTTTGACCTGATTCTGATTTAATTTTTTTTTTCATTGTGCGTCATTGTTTTTGATTAGCAATTTAAATAGCAGGGGTGCTCAAACTCTTAGGCAAGTCACCCACAACGAATGCTATAATGTGCTATTTATAATTCAAATTCAGATATTTATCATAACTTGAACTTTATTAACAGAATCTAAATCAACCAAACCTAATCTAACTTAGAGAACTATGGTAACCACTGTAAACAAATTTGAATCTTGGTTGTTCCGACTTTTGCACCAGAGCGTAGCATTTCACTGGCCTTCCCTCGGTTCTCTGTACGATTTCTTCGTCCGTCATATTGTCTTTCGGTAACGTAAAAGTATGATTATGAGGTTGTCCCCGATGACAGAATTCAGATACTAAATGCAATCCTCACCCGTCCAGACCTCACCTGCAGACAGACACGACCAGCCCATAACGCGTTGCCTCGTTACACGTCGTGCAATGAACGCGTAATGACAATTAATTTATTAACGTGCCAGATAGCCAATTATAGGCAAGCGTTAAATTAAAAAAAAACATTAACAAATTACAGTAATAGAAAAATTAAAGCAGTTATGTATTGGGGAAAGAGATAAATTATTGAAAAGGCTGATTAATGTTTGCATGCAAAACACGGTTTTTATGAAAGATAATTCTGCAGACTATGTTGGCAGCTGAGAGACTGACCTTCAAATAACGATTCAAAGAGAAAGAAGCGCAGTCTTTGACAAATCAATTGAGGATATGCAGAGTAACTGAGTACAAAATAAAATATGAACAAATTTTGCCTTTACAACATTAATAAAAAAAACATTAAATTACCTCATTAGTGGTAATGAATTTATTCTGAGTAAAATATCTTGATAATTATAATTACATATGGCATTAGAAACATCCTGTAACATAGCAGTAAATTTATAATAAATACAACACAGCGAGCCAGATTTAGGTAATTTGACAAGAAATGCATGTTATCAAAACTTGTGTACTAAACTACGTACCTATTACAAAATAGAACGGCATCAAGAAAGGTACTTGCAAACTTTGCATTGGAACACAGAAAATTCTAGGCAGATTGTTCTCAAAAGCGAAACTTATGGTGTAAAAGGGACACGTGGTACTTCTTAATTGGTTTGGATGGACTGGCTGCACTTCGACTGCACATTTTGCTCTCTCTTCATCTGTTGGACCAACCATCTCTTTGTTTTCTTCTTCCAGCGAATAGATTTGCCAGCACAAGGTCTTCCAGGCTCTTTTGTCTTACTTTCCCTGTTTCCTTTGCTTGACACCCTGATAGAAGAAATGGCAGTTTCTGCAAATGGCAACTTCACATTATATTGCCTTTGTTCATGTAATGGTTGCACTAATTCTAAAATACACTAACTTGTGGGAATTGTGTTTTATCATCAAACAATTTAAGAGATAATTCATATCATAGCAGTTTAATGCATTACAACTAATAGGTTATGAAATTGACCACTTACCTGCCAGGGAATAATTTTTCACACGTCCAGCAGCAAAAGTATTAGTAGACAGATTATCATCTGTTTTCTTAAGTTGCAGTTGTGCCCCTTTTGGACCATTTGGTTCGTCACTGTGAAAAAGAAAGAAGAATGAAATGAACATAAATAATTCAAAGTTCCTGGAGATATGTTTACCGCTTTTCATTTTACATAAAACTAATAAGAACAGATAACGTAACAAAAGAATGTACTCCATTACACAGCGGGAATATATTTTTACTCTTCGCTGACTGTCATTAATGTAATAATAACAACAACGATAAAACAGGTGTGGCGTATTTCACACAAATAAGGAAACAGGAAGAAACATGAAACACTTACGAGTTTTAAAATTTCATAAGAAATCAGTGGACAGACCTCGGCCATATATGTAAGTATAAGTGAAGTTGGGAAATGGATAAAACGTACAAAGTTCCAACGATGGTAACAAATAAAAATTAAATATGACTTCACTCCATTCGGTTAATATTTAAATCATTTACAATGTTTATAT